TATTTTTAGTTGGTCAATTAATTTATTTCTATTTTTGGTAGAGACGGGGTCTCGCTCAGGCTGGTTTCGAACTCCTGACCTTGAGCAATCCGCGCGCCTCGGCCTCCCAAAGTGCTAGGATTACAGGCGTGAGCCGCCACGCCCGGCCTCTTGAAATTTTTTTAATCACAAAATTAAAAGATGCATGATCCGTGACCGCCCCCCCCACTCTCCTTTCTTCTGTGCTGGCTCCCTGAAATCGAGTGGGCGAGGTCTTCCCTTTCCTGTGCATTCTAGAACACGTCCCAAGCCCGATTCTCTGTGGCCCAGCCCGGTCCCATGTCCCCTCTGAGGGGACCGCAGCCCACACCGGGGTCCGGAGCAGATGCTCAGCCCGGACCATGCGCACTGACCCAGAGCGAGGTGGAGGTCGCTCTCGAAGGGGAGTGGGTGCTGCCACCCAGGGGCGGCAATGCCAGGCAGGTGGGGGCAGCAGGTGCCTGCACTGCCCCGGAGGGACCGTGTGGGCCAGAGGTGACAAGACGGTGCCCATGAATACTAAGTGTGTGGGCCGCAGTAGCAGGGACTGAGGCTAGATGGGACATGCCTTCCTGAGCCAACCGAGGCAGGGCCCCCCGGGAGAAAGCTCAACTCCCAGGCTGGGGCGGGATTCAGGATCTTAAGGTCATGTGGGCACATGTGCACACGCACACTCACACACATCTGTGCTGTTGTGGGACAGTGGTCTTGGTCACCTCCCTAACTTGCAACAGGTTTTTCCTGCAAGCAAGGGTAACCCAGTGCCCGTGTGCTTGACTCCCGCTTGGCAATTAACAAGCAGTGGCCCCGTCTGACCACCAGGGCAAGATAAAGCGGCCTTGGCACTGAGCTAACCCAGTGCTGAATTATTTATTGCCCATGTCCCCCAGGCTGTTTAAGTGATGGACGGCAAGCGACCTTGCTGTCTCAGCCCGACCCGAGGGCCGGAGGGCCTGAGCCTTGCCTGTTCTCACACCCGGGGAGGAGCCGGGGAGAGAGGGTAACCATTTCTGGGCACCTGCGCTGGTCTCAGTGGACCCTTGCGGCCAGCCCGGGGGTGCGCTCTGTTATCCCCGTTTTACCGAGGACGGTCCTGAGACCCAGAGGGGACAGGGGCTTGTCCACAGTTGCAGAAAGTGGGGAGGTGAGATCTGAGCCAGCTCTGCCTGGTCTCTCAGCCCAGGGCTCTTCCAGCCCTCCTCCCGCTGTCTTGGAGCCCCACCCCGACCCAAAGGGACATAGATGTTCCTTTGGCAAATATCAGTGCCGGGCAGTGGGTAGCAGCCAAGGAGCACTTGGTTTTCCTTCTCGGTAAAAGGCCGGATGACGGCCGGCTTGCTGGAAACGCTGAGCACGAGAGTGTGGCGCCTCCTTGAAGCCGAATTCACGGGCCTGAAGCAAAAGCAGACAGCTCCGTCTCGCCCTCCTTGCTGCTCTGGTGCATTTCTTTGTAGCCTTTCCCTGCATGTTTTTCTTCTGCGGTTAGCATCATGCAGTCCCTTTAACTCAGCCTTCAGCTTGCTTTAGTATTGTATCATGAGCATTTCCCACGTCCCTGGAGGTCACTATAGAAATCATTCAGATCCCTTCGATTTCACTTAAAATTAGTGTATCCATTAACAAATTCAAGCAGTTTAAAAGGGTCCATGCAAGGAAAACCAGTCTCCCACTCCCCGTCCTCCGGTCCTCCCGGCTTCTGTTCCAGCAGGGACCGGGTGCCTCTTAGAGATGGTCTGTGCTTCTCCGTGTTGCTCCTCGCACAGGGACACGGGGCAGCGCCGAGCCCATCCCGCGCCTTGCTGTTTGCACGCGCCCCTGCTCTTGGCTGTGGTCCCCTGTCGATGCGCACGGAGCCGGCTTCTCTGTAAGGACTTCCCGTGTCATCGTCCTGTGGATGGGCCATCACGTGTCTCGTTGGTTTCCTAGTGATAGACTCGGAGGCTGTTTCCAGTGTTTTGCTGTTAAGTCAGCACTGCAGTAAATGTCCTCCTCCTGCATGTCCTCTTGCGCATGTGCAGTTATGTCTGCAGTGGATCATGTTCACCCATGGCTGGACAAACATGGTATTTAATGGCGATTTAATATTCCATTATGATGATTGAATGGGACATTTATGGGAGACAAAAATCTTCCCCCAAATCAAAGTTAGTTGCTATTCCATGCATGTCTGGATCCCTACAATGGGCCCTCTGAACATTTCAGCCACATGCTGAACAGCTGAGACACAAATGTGTATGAACATTTTCAGCCAAGGCTGAAGGCTTAGGGCAAGAAATTCCATCCATTTTCCTAATTGTTTAGCTATTGGGAAGTTTTAAATAATTTTGGTTCAGGCGAGGCACTGTGGCTCACACCTATCATCACAGCGCTTTGGGAGGCTTATGTAGGAGGATGGTTTGAAGCCAGGAGTTTGAGACTAGCCTGAGAAACGTAGCGAGACCCTGTCTCTACCAAAAAATTAGCCAGGCATGGTGGCACATGTCTGTAGTCCCAGCTACTCAGAAGGCTGAGGCAGGAGGATCACTCAAGCCCAGGAGTTCAAGGCTGCAGTGAAGTATGATTGCACCACTGCACTCCAGCATGGACAATGGAATGAGACCCTGTCTCCAAAAACAAAAATTTGTTAAAGAAATTAATGGCTCTCACAGTCATCATTGAATTATTGCCATGTACTTTATCGTACATGTATATACTGTGTACTTTAAACGTGTACATATTGTTATGTTGTTTATATGTACAAAACACACACATTTATTCTTCAAGTGAGGATAGAATTTTAATCTATAAAGTATGTAATGAAATACTGCATCCCAAACTACAATGAGAATGATTATATTTGGAAGCAAATCTTTAGCTATTGTACCAATTAACTATTGTTGTGTAACAAACATCCACATAAATTCAGTGGCAGGGAACATTTATTTAATTCAGGTCTGTTTGGGTCTGGCTATCTAATTGGGGCTCAGCAGCATGGTTCAGGTCTGCTCCACGAGTCTCTCATCCTCCTTGTGGGACCACTGGGCTCGCTGGGCAAGTGGAAACCCACAGGGTTTCTTAAGGCCTATGCTTAGAACTGTTGTCCTGTCAATTTCACCTCATTCTATTGGCCAGTGCAAGTCCGTGGCTGAGCCCAAGTTCAAGGGGCAAGGGAAATGCACACTGCCTCTTTAGCGTGAAGAAATGCAAAGTCACATGGTAGGAGCGTGGGTATAGGGAATAGTGAAGACTCAGGCCAGTGGTGCAGGGCAGGCACCCTCAGATGTTAGCAGTAGTCTTAATTGACACACCCTGTTCTTGTTACTGACAATTTTTTGCTGATCAGCTATGATGATGATCTGTGTGACCTCAGATCCGTGACTTTGCTCATGGTCAGAGATGCCAGGAGTGGCCTCGATGTAGGTACTGGGCCAGGCCAAAGCCACAGGGCAGGTTTGGCCAAGTCCTGAGGCTAAAGATAGACACGGTCATGCCGGATGCTTGGCAGGGGAGCGGGCCCAGGCCCGCTGGCTTCTGCGCCTGGACCAGGGCTGTGTCTGTGGCGTAGACCAGTCAGCTCTGCCCTCTTGGTGCTGTAACAGGGGCTCCTTCTCATTGCAGGGGAATATGGGTCCCACTGCCTTCTGGCTCCTGCTCTTCCTTCTCAAGAATCCGGAGGCCCTGGCCGCCGTGCGCGGAGAGCTCGAGCAGGTCCTCCGGCAGGCGGATCAGCCTGTCTCGCAGATGACCACCCTCCCGCAGAAGGCTCTGGACAGCATGCCTGTGCTCGGTGAGATGCCAGACCCTCCAAGATAGCCTCTGAGACCGGGCCATCATGGGCTCCCCCAACCCACCCCCCGAACTTGGGCTCCTGTCCTCCAGGGCCCGTCAGCGTCCTCTGACCTAGGGTTTCCCCGAGCCTCCCATCTTTGTAACCCCGGTCTCAGCTGCCCAAGACTCATGGTCTCAGTAGGAGATTTTTGGTAGCAAGTGACAGAAAAACCTAACTTAAATTGGCTAAAGTGGAAAAGGGATTTTATTTGGGACAGGTAACTGAACAGTCAGTCCAGAGGGACTGGTTTCAGGCACAGGTGGATCAGGCGCTTTAACGATGTCATCAAGACTACTCAGTCCCTCTCCATCTTTCATCCCCATTTCCCACTGGCTTGGCTCCAGTCTCAGGCTGGCAAGATGGCTGCCAGCAGCTCAAGCCCAGCTTGCTCTTGGCTCTGTGAGGCTGTGCCTCTTTTACAGCATTCCCACCAATAGTCCCAAGACTGTATCTCATTGGCTCTCTTTGTGTCATGTGCCCATCCTGAACCAATCACAGTCTCAGAGAGATGCTCTGATTGGCCAGTTACAGCCCAATCCCAGGAGTTGAGTGTAGAATCAACAGCCCAACCCCTGAGAGTGGGAGTGGGTGGACCCTAGAGGAAAACCTGGGGAATATGTGCTGGGTAGGTGGAAACAGATATTGATGGTGCCACTCTCTCCCCAGCCTTATGATGTTTGTGTAGCTCCCACCTTCCCTCACAGCTTCCCTTGGAGTCACACCCAGATCCCCTCACATTCAAGAATCTCTGAGGGATGACAGAGATCACATTTATCATCTGGCCTTTTTCACCTTGCTGTGTGACTGTGGGCAAGGCATGCACCCTCTCTGAGCCTCTTCATCTTCCTCTGTACAATGAGAGCCGGGGGCATTTGAGTGGGCGAGGGGGCAGCCTGCTGACCCTTCCTGCACCCTCCCCCTGCAGACAGCGTGCTGAGTGAGAGTCTCAGGCTCACGGCCGCACCCTTCATCACCCGCGAGGTTGTGGCGGACCTGGCCATGCCCATGGCAGACGGGCGAGAATTCAACCTGCGACGTGGCGACCGCCTCCTCGTCTTCCCTTTCCTGAGTCCCCAGAAAGACCCAGAAATCCACACAGACCCGGAGGTAAATGGCAGGGGCGCCTGGTCATGCAGGGGACCGTAGGGGAAAACAGGGTGAGGGGAGGCAGAGCCAGGCGGTGTTCCCTGTTCCCTGTTTTCCTAACAGGCCACAGACCCATACCGGGGTGCGCCCCAGAGGTTGGGAACCTCAGCTTTCAGCTGTTTTGAGCCTTTACAGACATACACACAACACGTACGCGCATGGATAGATCATACAGTACATGCTGTCCCGAAACTGGCTTTTTCACTCAACAGCCAGCTGCAGATTCCTTCCACGTCAGCACACACAAACCTTTTGCGATAATTTTTTAGCCAGTCCTCCATCAGTTGACCTTTACACTGTTTCCAGTTTTTCTCCTCCTGTTAACACGGCTGTGGTGAACGGCATTCTTCTGGGTGCAGGCTTGTCGTGGGGGTGGGGTCAGAAATGGGCCTTCTTCCTACTTCAGGTGTTTAAATACGACCGGTTCCTGAACCCTGACGGATCAGAGAAGAAAGACTTTTACAAGGATGGCAAGCGGCTGAAGCATTACAACATGCCTTGGGGGGCCGGGCACAATCAGTGCCTGGGGAGGACTTATGCCACCAACAGCATCAAACAGTGAGTGGGCCGGGCACGGTGGGCGGGGGGGCTGCCCTTCTCTCCGGAGCCTGAGGGGCTCGGCCAGGAGCATGGTTCAGGGCAGAGGCCGTAAACGGACAGTACATGAGCTGTCTCCTCCCCACAATTCTGTTTATTCGTGTGTCTTTTTAATGTGCGCTAACCTTTAAGGATCAGAAGAACGCACGTAAAAAGTCAGATTTCTGATGTCTTTTGAGATGATCGAGTCTGGCAGCAGGCTCTTCCCTCTGAGACTGGTGTCGGGTGCCACGCGCTGGACATTCCGTCCAGCGACCATAGCTGCCCGTCTGCAGCTGCTGTGGCATGTTCAGAGCCTCGCGGCGGGAACTGGCTGAACCTCACTGTTCCCGGTCAGCTGCTGTGACGCCGGCGGGGGCCAAGAGCCTCACACGTTCTCTCCCTGGACCCCAGAGCCGCGGCCCCCAGGATTACAAACGGATTGGATCAGGGGTTAGGACATCTGCCCAGTCCGCTGTCTAGCCTGTATGTGATCATAAACCGAGTGACCTTTGGAATGTCTCTTTCCTCAACTGTAAAATGGGGGTTCTGATTATAAGCACATCCCAGGGGTGTCAGGATAAAGGAGTTGGATCCTTCTAAGTTCTTAACCCACTGCCTGGCTCATTGTAGGCACTTGATAAATGTTAATTATTATCATAATTACTAATATCATCATTAATGTGCAGATATTATAATGATGTCATTGTTACAGCGCTAAGTGAATGGGCACATTGCACTAACCTTTTGGCCTTAGTTTTCCCAACAACTGCAGTTCCGACCTCATCGAGTTTCTGAACAGATAAAAAGAGATAGTGGACGCTGAGCGCTTAGCAGGTGTCTGGCACATAGTGTTTCAATAAATTAGCTAATTTGTTGTTATTTTTATCTCACTTAATTGTCATGGCAACCCTGGCAGGTAGTTATCAGTCTCAAACTGAGTCTATCCGTGTGAGGTATCTACATAATAATAATAACTAATAACAGATAAAAAACGGAGTCTAGACAAGTCGAATCACGTGCACGCCACGCTCCTCGGAAGCAGAGACGCCGGGATTCCGAGGCAGGTGCAGGCGCAGAACCCTCCCACCCCCAGGAATCCCGCAGCGTCCGAGCTGGAAAGATCCATCGACCTTTCCTCTCTTTGACCAGAGGGGGAACTGAGACCCAGAGTGGGAAAGAAGCCTGGCAAAGCCGTGCACACATAAGTGGCACAGCCCAGTCTCCTGTCCAGGGTGGATGTCCCTCGCTTCACCTGTTCAGTAAGGTTAAGGAATCCCTGCCGTGTGCTCAGCCCTCACCCGGGTGGGGTAGGGGCATAGTGATGGGACACAGAGTCGTAAAAGACACACTCCAGACTCTTGCGAACACGGGCAGTGGCATTAGATGTGACAGGTGGCAGGAGCCAGTTAACAGCCATCAGGCGGGCCCCACATTTCTGGGGGCGCCGATTACATCATAGACATGGCAGCTTTGCATATTCACAGTTCTCCAGGAGATGGCAGTAGAGAGCGCTCGTTCCCGAATCGTGGGTCTGTTAGGACGGTTCTCAGAGACGGCAGTAAAATGTCTTGGCAGAACGGTACCACCTGTCTCTAATCTCACGCAGGCACCTGTGGGCTAGCAGCAGCCCTGGCCAGGACAGACAGCGGGGGTTCCAGGAGTTTGGAGGAAGGGGCAGGGGATGGGTGTGGGCAGGAGGGACCAGAAGAGCCACTGTTTTCACCAGCACAAGCTCAGCTCTGCTGCTGTGACAGGGGCTGCCAGTGTCCCTGGCTTCTACCTGCACAGGTTCAGTTCCTACTCACACTGCATTGGCTGTGGGTTTGGGGGGCTTCTCCCCTCCACGCAGGGACTCGAGGGCCAGCCTCTCTCCATCTTTCGGCTCCACCATCTCAACGTGAAGCCAGGCGGGAGGGACGGCTGGAGAGTCAGTCACACGCCGGCTCTTAAATGCTTTGATGGGGAAGTGACTCATGACACTTCCGCTCAGAGCCCGTTAGCTGGAAGTCACCTGCTGGCCTGTCTGACCCTACGAGGTGCTGGCACAGGTGCAGGAGCAGCAAATGCCTTTGCTCTCCCCTCTCTCTCCCCTCCTCCCTTTTCCCAAAGTGGGAGTTGGGGTCGGACTCAGAAGGAAGCCATGGTTCCCCTGCCTTGTTCTCACACCTTCCACGCCACCTCTCTGCAGATTTGTGTTCCTCGTGCTGGTGCACCTGGACCTGGAGCTGATCGGCGCGGACGTGGAGGTGCCCGAGTTTGACCTCAGCAGGTACGGCTTCGGGCTCATGCAGCCGGAGCACGACGTGCCCGTCCGGTACCGCATCCGGCCGTGAGAGTGGGCCCCTGCGCCCCTCCGCCGGCCCGCCCCAGCCCCCCGCTCCCCCTGTCTGCACTGGGCCTGGGAGTGGGTGCCAGCGTCACCACTTCCCCGTTCCTCTCCCAGAAGGCTGTGGCCGGGGAGGGGAGAGGGGAAGCCGAGAGAGGCGAGCGCAGAAGAGACCTGAGAAGCTCTGCGGAGTCTCTGCTGGGAAGTCTCGGCTCCCAGGTCACGCCTCTCTGCTTCCAGCTCGCCATGCCTGTGCTCTGCACAGGAGCGAGCATGGACAAGGCAGGACTAGGAGCCCTCACTGCTGTGCCCCCAGTTCCCAGAGCCGTCGCCTCCCGAGTCCTTAACAACTGGTGTGCTCCAGGCCTCGTGCAGCGGGAGCAGGTGCTGGCCACAGAGGGGCCACTCGGAACCTAGCATTGAAATGACTCTGTCCCCCAGTTACTATGAAGTTAGCTAAAGCCAAAGGAGTCCCTTAGCATATCCGCTTCCCTGGGTGCCCCATCCACTGGGCACTTCCACGTTGCTCTTTCCACACTGAGACTTGAGAAAATGCAGGAGGGTTCCCGAGGCCGGGCGCCCTCTGAACACTGTTGTAAAGTTACTGGCGCCAGGTGGCATGGGCTTTCCCGGCGTCAAGAGACTCGGGTGGAGAGCTAAGGAGACGCAGCCCTGATGGGACAGCTCCCGGACTGGGCCGGCCATCGCAGAGGAGGTGCCGAGGTCATCCACGCTAGCAAGGAAGCTCCAGCGCCCGGCAGGCGTGTTTTGTTTGGCCTTCACCTGAAAAAAATTACCTTAGTTGTGATCGTCTGTGGGGGAGTTGATTCAAAATGTCCGGCTTCTCTTGAAAACTTGGTAGATCTGGCCACACGGGGCCATGTCACCAGAGGTAACCACTGGCCAGAGCTGAGTGGCAGCTGTGGGGCAGGTGCCCTCTGGCTCCCCAGGGTTCTCACGTGGTCTGACTCTCCATTCACAGTCACTCCTGGCCCTGAAGGCATTTGAGTTCGAGACCCTGTTCTAACTCTTAGAAGTGATATCGTAGGAGGTGGCGGGGACCAGCTGATTGATCTAAAGACCGATCGTCCATCGCAGCCTGGGTGCACCACCCTTTGAACAAACAGATCGGTGATGAAAACTTGCCTTTGCTTCCGTGTTAGAAAAAAGCAGCTTAAAGAGAAAAATTGGCTGGGCATACTGGCTCACACCTGTAATTCCAGTGACTTAAGAGGCTGAGGCAGGAGGATGGCTTGAACCCAGGAGTAGTTGGAGGCTGCAGTGAGCTATGATCCAGCCTGGGCAAGAGAGTGAGACCCTGTCTCTTAAAAAAAAAAAAAAAAGATAGAGAAAGAAATTGCCCACAAACCTTTAGTATGATGGTAAATAATGTGTTTTTATTAATATTAGGTCCTGTTTATTGAGTATGCTTTAAATGCCTATAATGGGCACAGTAGACATAGCATCTCTACTCCTCCCAGCATCTCTGTGGAGAGAGGATGGTTATGCCCACTTTACAGATGAGAAAACAGACTCAGAAAGGTGCAGTGACTTGCCCGGGATCACACAGCTTGTAAGCTCGTAGAACTCAGCAAACATACTTACTGTCTCAGGAGCACATGCTGGATGGGCAGCTCTCTCTTCTCGGGGGGCGGGGGCAGCTCTCTTTGACTTGGGAGGGCTGATGGAGCCAGAGGCACCCAGCCTGGCTGCATCTCATCAGACACAGACACACGCACACAACAAAGTCCTTCTGGCTTCAGCTGGAGGGAGAGGAGAGGACCCGCGACCTCTGAATGTTCCAAAGGCTTGTCTCTTTCAGAGCAGTGCTGGGGCTTGGGGGCTTCCCTGGCCCTCAGCCTCTAGGCACCCCCGGATTCCCAGACAGACACTGTGATTGGCAGGAGGCGGGATATCCCCAGGGAAACCCATCTTCACGCCTGGGTGACCCCCGCTGCCGCCTGCTTCTTAACTCTGCAGGAAATCAGAGCTGGCAGCCTCCTGTGGGAGGACAGAGCCGGTTTCCATGGCAACCCTCAGCTGCCTCATCAGTGGCTTGGAAGGGAAGGAAGAAAGTGCCAGCAGAAATAGCTATGAAGGTCTCGCAGGTTGCAATCCTGCTGTGCTGGGGGAAAGCCCTTCCGACTTCCCCCTTCCAAATCAGGCTGGGTTGTCACTGAGACTAGATTCTCACCTACCTTCAAAGAAGGGCCAATTCCCTTTAAAGGTGGCACCTCCTTGGAGCCACGATCATTAGTGAATCACTCGAGGAAAAGACGGTTCTCCCACCAGGCAGCTCCAGCTGGCACCTGATACTGAAGTACGGCTCAGGAGGCAGTGATTTTTTATAAGCCTGCCCTTGTTTTAATCTTTATTATTTTTTTTATTTTTTTCTCCCTTAGAAAAAATAAACTATAGAGAAAAGAGAGAGAGAGATGAGTGGATCAGCTACTTGCTGCAGGTTGGTTAGGAAGGTACCTATATAACATCATCGTATTTCCTCGTACCTTGTTTAAGAATCACAAAATTGCAGGACATGTGCTAGAAATATTCTTAGGTTGACCTAATGAGGTGTTTTCTTAACATCATTATCATTATTATTTGCTGTATTTTACATTGTTGTTTACTAAATATTCTCCTTTAAAAACAGACTTGCTTTTTAAGCTTAAATTTGTAGGAAAAGGGAACTTTTTTTCGATTGTTGCCAGTAACGGACAACATGTATCACTCGCTGCCAAAAATAGAAGGAGGCTGTGAAAAATAAATTTGCTAGAGTGGTGGTGGAGGGGGCTCCATGCTGGTGTCGCCAAGGCTCAGAGCCTTAGAGCTGTCTCCGCTGGGTTAGGAAATGAGATGAGCAAGTGTTAGATTGCCTTAAGGCCACACTGGCATCTCCCTGGCTCTCCAGGGCAGAGGAGGAGTAAGTTGCTCACCACACAGGCCACCCAGAGCCACCTCCCCCACCAGTGGGCCCCCACACACACACACCAGGGAGCTGGTGATATCTTACCTGCCCGTTCTCCAGGTAGAGAAACAGGCTCTGAGAGTCCAAATGTCTTGTCTAAAGTCATTGATTTTGATGATTTTTTTTTATAAACAGTGTTTCCTGAGTAGCAGTGATTGTTATGGCTATTTTAATGAAGAGTTCTATTTTCATATAACATTGTCGAGTGGAAACATGCAGAAATCTATTAAACTGTCCTTGTTTGTGGAACTGCCTCCGAGTGTGATTCCGATGGAGGGAGTCGGCCGTGTCTGAGATGATGAGGTTGGCTCCTGGGCTGGGAGCACAGAGCACATACTCTGTGCCCGGCCCTGCAGGGCCTCTCACTGACAGAATCAAGTCACACCTCCACCCATCTGCCAAGGCATGTGTTGTTATCCCCATTTTCACAGAGGAAGAAACCGAGGGTCAGGGAGGTGAAGTGGCTCACCCAAGGTCAGTTAGCTAAGAAGTAGTAGACTCAGGATTCCAATGCAGGCTTGTCTGCCCCTTGAGACACTTCCGTTGGTGATGCTCTTGGTGGCAGTGAAGGCACTGGCACCCATAGAGGACCTTGGGGTGGAGGGTCACAAGCAGATAACACAAAAGATCTCTTATAAATTCACTGGATATCTTCCAAGCTCCATCAGAATGCATGCATTTGCTTTAGGATAAAAAAAGAAAGGGTAAAGTTGATTAAATTAGCTCTGTGAACAATGAAAGGGGGGGAATTGTTTTTTTCTCAAAGCTTGGAGTAAAATTATGCCCCAGGGCAGATGTCATTATCAGTTTCCTCATCTGGGGTTATGGAGGCACATCCGGTGGGACTGGGTGGGACTGGATTTGGCCGTGTGGGGCAGACTTCTCAGTCACACGACAGCATTTTATAGTTTAAAGTGTTTTTGGGGGGCTTTTTTTGAGACAGGGTCTCGCTTTGTTGCCCAGGCTAGAGTGAGTGCTGTGGCGTCAGCCTAGCTCACAGCAACCTCAATCTCCTGGGCTGAAGCAATCCTTCTGCCTCAGCCTCCCGAGTAGCTGGGACTACAGGCACGCGCCACCATGCCCGGCTAAGTTTTTGTGTATATAATTTTAGTTGGTCAATTAATTTCTTTTTATTTTTAGTAGAGACGGGGTCTCGCTCAGGCTGGTTTCGAACTCCTGACCTCAAGCAATCTGCCTGCCTCAGCCTCCCAAAGTGCTAGGATTACAGGCGTGAGCCACCGCGCCCGGCCTAAAGTGTTTACATTCAAAAGAGCAGACATTTTTTTCTCTCTAAAGCAGATACAGGAGACCAGAGGTAGTGTGTGGCATCTCCACAGTCACCACATTTCTGGTATTGCTAGCATCTATAACCAGTGCTTTCCACGCAGGGCTGCTTAAGCTCCAGCCATTTTGTTCACATTCCAACCAGCAGGAAGGAGGGAGGAGCAAACAGGCGAAAAGCTTGCTTTCATCCCATTGGTCAGAATGTAGTCACATGACCCCCTCTTGCTGCATGGAAGGCTGGGAAATGTAGTCTTTCCAGAACATCAGTGTGTGCCCCCAGAGAGGCACCATAGCCCAGCTTGAGAAGCACTGCATTCTGCTCTCCTGCTTACCAGTCATGGTCTGAGCCACTTGGCATGGCCAGAGGGACAGAGCTTGGCTTTCCTGAGCCGTTGGCTTTACATTCTAGGTTCTAGGGGCCTGCAGCTCCAAGACTTTGGCCTTTCATGCCCTTCTACCATTGATGTTAACAGAAGGATTCTAGCATTTCATTTTGCCAGATAAGGATATTAAGAAATATTTCTGTAGGTTGGGCATTGTGACTCATGACTGTAATCCCATTATTTGGGGAGGCCAAGGCAGGAGGATCACTTGAGGTGAGGAGACCAGCCTGGGCAACTCCATCTCTACAAAAAATTTTTAAAAATTTGCTGGGTGTGGTGGCATGCACTTGTAGTCCCAGCTATTTGGAAGGCTGAGGCAGGAGGATTGCTTGAGCCTAGGAGTTTGAAGTTACAGTTAGCTATGATGACACCACGGCACTCCAGCTTGGGCAACAGAGCAAGACTCTGTCTCTAAGGGGTCGGGGGAGGGAAAGAAGAAGAAATAGATCTGTCATTTACTTCCACAGACAGTTCAATCTCCCAAAAGCAGAAAGATAGGTTCCATATCAGAATTAACACAGCCACTCCCTCAAAAATTGATATTGAATAGCCCTAAAGGTGGAAACAACTCAAAAGTTCATTAACTAATGAATCGATAGACAAAATGTGGTATGTCCATATGAAGAATAGTATTTGACAATAAAAAGGAATGCAGTATTGATACATGGCACATGAATTAACCTTGAAAACATTATGCTAAGTGAAAGAAGCCGGTCACAAAAGGCCACATATTATATGACTCCATTTATATGAAATGTCCAGAATAAGCAAATCTGTAGAGTCAAAAAGTAGATTAATGGTTGCCAGGGAGGGAGTGGATGGGAAGAAATAGAGAGTGACTACTAATGAAATCTAAAATTGACCATGGCGATCGTTGCACACCTCTGTGTATATACTAAAAACAATCGAATTGTACACTTTAAATGGGTGAATTTTATAGTATATGAATTATATCTTAATAAAGCTGCTGTGTATTTTTTAAAAATAAATATTTTGAGCACCTCACATGTGCCAGGCACCGTTGTAGACAACAGGGGCCCCACAGTGAGTAAAATGAACAAAAAAAAAATCCTTGTCTTCATGGCATTGACCTTCTCATGGAGGAGACAGCAATAAACTAGGTAAATAAGACATTAAGTAAGTCAGATGGTGACAAGTGCCTCAGAGAAGAATAGGAGGGTTGGGAAGTGCAATTTTTAATAGGGTGGGCAGGGACGGCCTCCCTGGGGGACAGTTTGAACAGAAACTCAAGGAAATGAGGGGAGCAAACCATTTGGATATCTGAAGGAAGAACGTTCCAGAGAGATGTGGACAATGCAAAAATGGGAAGCTCCCGGCAGGTTCCAAGAACAGAGGAGGCCAGTGTGGCCAGGAGCTGTGGGGGCTCTGGGTAGAGGGGGTTGTGCTCTGGCGTGTTCTGGCGGGATCCGTCTCACTGTGTGTGTGGGGAGTGGGCTTCGGAAAGAGGGGACACTGCCCGTCCAGGCAAGGTCTCTGCCCTCATAGTTGTCACGTTCAGGCAGAAGGGAACGTCAAAGAGGAGCAAATCAGCGCGCACACGTGTCAGGTGCGGAGGAGGGTGGTGGAGACTGGCAAACGGCAGGATGTGATGCCA